CACTTTAGTCATCAGATATATCTAGAGGTCGCCGGTTCAATCCCGGCTCATCCCATGCATTTTTTTTTCTCCTTTCCTTTTTGCCCTTTTTTTTCCCCCATAAACATAAATAGCCCGGCCCGGTTCGTTCTGCTGAACGTTTGATAATTCTGTCCTGTTAGGTCGTTTTACAAATCCACGGGCATCTTCTGGAAGAACTGCGTCTGCAGTTTTCAGTACCAGTTTAGCGCGAGGGCTTGATCGGATGAACCTGTCATTTGATTTAGCGAATTGCGTCACTTGATGCCTCCTTGTGTTCAGGAAAACACCTATGTCTACCTCCTCGGCGCCGATGGAAGTAACAGAGAGGCACCTGCACTTGCCGTGGCACAAGCTACTTTCTCCCTGTGCAGTGAGCCTCCGATCTTGAGTCGAGGATAGGCGGCCACCCGAAGTCATCGACCTTCCCGCATGCGGCTGTCAAGGGAGAACCACCCAATGCCGACATTTTTATTCCGAATCCGGGGCGTCTCCCCTTGAACTCGCGTTAATTTTGGGTGCTAAGTTACCTACTTATACTAAAATGATTAGGTACCTATGTGCGCGTTCCAAAAGCCGCTAGCGGTCAGGTAGAACTGCCAACAAAGGAACCGTTCCTCCGGCTGCATGTCTTGATGACAATCCCATGTGGAAAGCGTAACACTTGCGCGTGCTCCGTTTGCGTGCAAGCCATCAGCCTGATGCGTCGACCTGAAAGGTCAAAAGGTCTGTCTCTCCTGTAACCAGACCTGGGTTTTTGTCACGCGATGCGAATCGCCATATCTTTTATATACACCATGCTTCCGCATAGCGCCCGAAAGGCCTATGCTTTCAAGATCCACTCATGAAGCTGTGTCAGAATCACACAAAGAAAGACCAGGACGCTGAAGGCGGACGAGCGTACCTCCGCAGGCTCATGGTGTCTGCCGCGGCCCATACCAACATTCGGGAGGTACAGACCACCATGGCAGATAGTCTCCGTCGCGCCGGACTTAGACTTAGGGCTGTTATAAGTATGAGTCGTCGATTTCACACGGCAGACACGCGAACTCGGGAGCAGGGCTCCCACAAACGATGCCACCTTCTCGAACTCCCTACGGAATTATTACTTGAGATTATCTCGCACCTCTCGGTCCTACCTGAGGCATGTCTAGCCCTGACGTGCCAAAGACTATTCGCAATATCCGGCGCCGTTCTAAATTCCAAATCGCTCCACTTCAATCGAGACTTTGCCCCGCTTTTTCACCACTATCGTAACGGACACAGCTTTGCGACAACTCGATGGGAACTGGTCAAGATTCTCGAAGATAGCAGATGGCGAGCTTGTTCAAAGTGTCTCAAGCTCCACCCACGAAGCGCCTTTCCACCGCGGGAACTGAGACGCAAACCTGATGAACGGACTTGCATTCTAGGGAATCTTGCCGGAGTGGTCGACCTATGCCCGTGCAAGAAGCTGACCTTTCGAGACAAAGTCGAACTAGTGGAACTGCTGAAAATACGCCAGAAGTCTGTGGCAATCATTGCATCTCAATTTGGAGGCATTGAGGAACGCTTTTGCTGGCACTCGTGCAAAGAGAGCTACGGGTCCACGCAACTGGAAACCGAAATTTTTCCAGAATTAGACGATAGGGACCGGTTAATAATCCGAACGGAATATCACTTGACAACAACCGCGGGACAGCTCGGGAAAGAGGAGTACATGACTGCACGGTTCGGATGCGCTCATCGGTCTGTCGACTTGTGGCTCGCTGGGGTATGCCAGACTACTATATGCCAACTATATGAAAATCGCTGCGCCTCGTGCAGGCGAATATCGACCTGTAACTCTTGCAATGCAGTGCTAAGGTGCCCTCGCAAGCAGCCGTGTCGGATTGACGGAGAATCGGGAATCGCGACATACTTCTTCTGGACTGAAAGATGTCTCGGAGGCGCCTCGCCTGTTCCTGATGCAACATGGGCGGCCCAAAGAATTCACCCCGCGGAGCCTCTAGTCGATCTGGACAATTGTGGTGAGCTCTGCCCGTGGACCATACGCGAGCACCCTCCTCCCCCTAACCCGCCGGAATTGGAGATGGACATCCTTGAAGCGGCAATTCAAGATCAATCACTTAATCAACTCTATACTTCCACAGATACGACATTGGGACAATAGATCAAGATTCAGCGTGAGGGCGTCCAAGGCGTTTAAGGAGGACTGACTCTTGAGATTCACGGTGTAGGTAAATGATGTATTTGTAGTTTTTCTTGAGATGGCATAGTGGCATAATAGCATAGACATACCATACCGTATTTATTGCTGATGAACACTCAGAATCAGTGAATTAAGTTCTTCCCAACTCCCATATCGTTGTGCGGATACTTCGAAATAACACTAGTCCGCATTTGTGTCTGGCGTGGGTTTCTCCGACCCGGATCCAAAATGGAAAAGAGCATCGCGATTTGGTGGAGGACAAACCAGTCCAGACCATCGGCATCAACTTGTTATACCGCGGGCAGTTAGCAGATCATCGTGGCTTGGATGAGTATCATCCGTGTCCTGGGGCGATGAGCTACCCACCACCTCACAACGGTCAATATTCTCCGCAGTATTTGCAGCAACATCACAATCTCCAACCTTCCCAGCAGACCATCCAACCTCAGCTCCTATATAACAATGTGAACGCCGTCAACGCGAACGCCGCGGCGTATCAATATGGCAAACCGGCTCCTTACCCGCAGGTGATGATCCCGTCGTATGGTGCTTACGGTCAGATGTACAACTCGCAACAACATCAACCGCAACCGCAACTTCAACAGCAACCACAAGCACAAGCACAAGTGCCGCCGCCGCCGCAACAACCGCCGCCGCAACAACCGCCGCCGCCGCCGCAGTACGTGAACCCCTCGGATATCTTTCAGCAGCCAATTCTCCCTTCGCGGTCCTCTTTTAGCGCTCATAGTCCATCTCAATTTGTCACCCAAAACGCGGTCCCTGTTGCTGGCAACAGCCGTTCTCCAACCCTCACCACGCCCTCTTCAGCTCAGCAGACTCCGGCTCCTGTTCCGGCCCCAATAAATAAACTGACTCCTAATACGGACCATTTAAATAAGCGATCTCCCGATAAACGTCCACAGCCTGCGCATACCCCTAAAGCTCCGACAAAGCCTAAGCCTGTTACAGCCAGCCCGCCTGTTGCTGCTACACCACCACCACCAGCACCAGCACCAACACCGAAACCTGTACAGGTTCTGATCCCGGCCCCGTCGCCAGATGTACAACAGAAGATTCAGCGTCTGCCTTCGAAGAAACAGACGCAGAAACAGCCCGCCCAACAACCGGCACAAAAACCCGCCAAACCTGGTATTGACTACCAAGTGCTGTTATTGGCAATGGCAGACGAATATCTCGACGCTGCCCATAGTCATGGAACTACAGTGGCGTTGCTGAGAAGGGACATGGAGTTGGAGGAGTATTACAGACTTGTTGCTACTGGTCTTGGGTGCCTGGAAGCGGTGCTGAAGGTTTGTGCTCCTAAAATGTCGTGTCCTTATGATATTCTGATCTGTGCGGTATAGAATTGGAGGTTACAGCCGCGCGTGGAAGCCCTAGTGAGATTAAGATATGCGCGCATACTTTTCGAGGAGACGAACAATGACCTGGAAGCGGAGACGGCGTTAAGCAAAGGCGTATGCACACCCAGTAAACTTCCCTATGGTTCCTCTGTCAGCTAACCTGTGTCGGCTAGATTGATTTATGCGAGCGAGTAAGTGGTCCGATCGATGCCTTTTCTCGGCGCGAAGTATGACTTATAACCGTACTTACTGAAATTAGAATCGTATGCTTGACCTCAAATACAGTATGCAGCATCTTCTGGCGCGGATGCTATACAAAACGAACCCGAAAGCATCGCTGAAAGCTGTAGATGGAATGATTCAGGACGTCGAGGCGTAAGCTCGCCGTGACCCTTAGCACGCCGCTCAAGTTCTGACTTATTCTAGATACCGACACTCTGCCTGGGAATACGCTTTTCGGTTCCTCAGAGTGTCCCTTTCATTGTCATCGCCCGGTCATCATGAATCTACATCAGCTTTACAGCAACTCCATAAGATATCTAATATGGCGAGTCGCAATGGCGACAGGGCTGTTTCTGCTATGTCCGCAATCATCGAAGCGCTAGCTCATCTTCAGCAAGGTTCTAGTTCCGATTCCATTGGGCAAGCCCAGCGTGCCATAGCTGCAGCCAGAAGCCATCAGCTCAACGATGAGCTGCGTTATATACCGCAACTTACGACTCTTGTGCAGATTGTGGATATTTGCTGTAGCCTGCTAGAATACGACGTCAACCAAGCGTCTCAGAAGCTCAAGATTCTGCAAGATCTAATGGACGAGCGACTAAATGATTCGAATTGGCGTGCCGATGGCTCATTTTCCATTCCCTTGAGTGGAAAATCAGCCGGGCCCTCTTCCATCGATACTGGAGATATCCTCCAGGTACAGAGCGGCACTTTGCTCCTGAGCTTTAGCTGGCTACCTCAACATGACCTCTATGCCCTCTGCTATTTTCTCAGCTCGATCACGCTGAGCTGCAAAAACTCATACGATGGACGCAAAGCTGAAAAGTTCCTCCAGGAAGGAGTGCGCATGCTCAAAGGTTCGTCATTTATTTGCCCTTCTAGAGTTCAGCGGCTAAAGTCCAACAGGTAATTTTCAAGCGCCACAAGAAATCACGGAATCGTTGGTCAGCGCAAATAGACGTGTGCAGTGGCGTAGGACACTATTTTGCAATTTACTCATTCAACAAGTATTCCTCGCTTGCGGCCGCACGGACTGGGATCTCGCCAGCAGGACTTTGAAGGAGCTTCGACAA